TTGTGCATGTCATTATTGCAGCACTCGCAATAGCTGGATAAGACCAATCTTTGAAACAATCGGATAGGCACCAATAGCAATAATGGGTTTTACACATGATTTATGATTTCATGAGTTTGCACTGCCTATATAACATTACTGAAACTGCAGCAAACACTTTATGCTCTATAGTAAACGCCAGTATTCACCATCAATGGAGCTGGTCAAGTTACGCATTCTTTATAAAAACCCTTTATAAATAGTATAGGAGCCAGCAACGTTTTCGAGCAAGCATTTTAGTCAGGCTGGTTTTTTGGTATGTGGTCCTTGGTGCTCTCTCGGTTAGGGTAAGGGCCGTCTGGCAGCTGGAAGTGGTTGCGTTAATTAGTGCGCAGCCAATTTGTACAGCGCGATTTCAAAATTTTGAAAGCATTTTAGTCAGTCCAATTTTCGTTGTTTTGACTTCGAATAGGTTCACCAGACTCAAATTTTTTGTTGCCAGACATTTTGGGCGCTGCTAAATATGTGCCAGACGACAATTTATTTATTAATTTTTTAAAAAATTCAAATCATTTTAGTCCGTCTGAAATTTTAGTATTATGTTCGTTAAGGGTAAAAACACGTAAAATTAATTTGCCAGACGTTTCTGCGGTTGTTAACCATGTCTGGCAAGCAAAAATGTCTGGCAATATGATACTAGTTTATAGCATTTTAGTCAGTCCAATTTTCATTTTTTGACTTGATTTTTGATTGGATAACTTGAATAAGTTATACAGATTCACATTTTTGTTGCCAGACATTTTGGGCGCTGCCAAATATTTGTCAGACGCCAATTTATTTATTAATTATTTTAAAAATTGAAATCATTTTAGTCAGTCTGTAATTTTAATATTATGTTCATTAAAGGTCAAGAAACATAAAATTAATTTGCCAGACGTTTCTGCGGTTGTTAAGCATGTCTGGCAAAGAAAAAAGTCTGGCAATATGATACTAGTAGACAGAGTGAGACAATCGCCAAATACATTGGCGCGAATGAAACTATTATACTCGTAAGAACGCAATACGTTTACTAGGCAGAAAACCATAAGAAAAATCAAGTAACTGTATTAGACAGATGTGTTTGTTATAAACTTCTCTGCAAAATTGTGTTTATACCATTTTTCTTTAGAATCACCGTTTCTTACAAATTGCCATCTGGAAAGTTAAAAAATTCATATTCCTCATAATATGCAGCCTTTATAAATACATCATCGAAGGTGAATTATGAGTGAAAAATAAAAATCCATTGATTTGTTTTTGATAGATGAGTTTAATGAGTCTTTTGATATATCACATTGTAGTATTATTGTCCCAGTGTGGGAGGGTCGCATACCTGATTGTTTTGAAGGAATTAATCGAAATAATTATGTATAAATGAATGCGAGGCGTGTTATAACATTCAAAGTGCTTAAACAGTTATCATATTGAATAAATGTGCCAGTTTCTAGTACCAACACATGAGAAGGAAGATAAACTGCAGCTACATTACTATATTATTGTATCATTAAGCCATAAGACGAATAAATCTGTATAATAGACGTTTTTATTGGTTGTTAAAAAAACGATATTCCCAATTATAATCTTGATTTAAGAGACCTAGGTCGAATGACTATCATTATATAGTGATACATATTGATCTAAAATGATCCCATTTGAATTTTTGAATTATTAAATACACTTCGTTTTAAAAAAAACATTGCTCAATATACAGCTATAAGCTGAAAGAAAAAAGAGCGGAGAATGCTTGCTGTACAATATATATTGTATAAATATATACTAGAATTTTAAGATTCTATTCTAGGGGTAGCTTGAACTGGTAAGGTAGCAAAAGTAATATTACAAGTATTAAGTATAGGTATGTGTTACAATTAGTTGCTGCTAAAGCTAAGTACCATGTAAAATGAAGTCATTTGACTCAGTTAACTTAGCGATAAAAAATATTTGCGTACAACAAAAATAATGATTATTGTCAGTTCTCATTGCAAAACTTAAAATATATGATATTCTTAGGAAATTGACGATGTTACTTAACCACTGTCGAGTCAAATTTTTGAAAATATTAACAGCAATATTTTAGAATCATTAACATCTTTTTTAGAGCTAGTAAAATTAAAAAATTGAGTAATATGATGCAATTTTTATTCTCTCTTTTCTAATTAAGTCTTTATTTAACTTTATTTTATTTGTTTTATGAAAATATTATTGAAATTGCACTAACTTTAAATAGTATACGTATTGTGCTCTTACGAGTATAATAGTTTTTTGTTTCATTCGCGCCAATGTATTTGGCGATTGTCTCACTCTGTCTACTAGTATCATATTGCCAGACTTTTTTCGTTGCCAGACATACTTAACAACCGCAGAAACGTCTGGCAAATTAATTTTATGTTTCTTGACCCTTAATGAACATAATATTAAAATTACAGACTGACTAAAATGATTTGAATTTTTCAAAAAATTAATAAATAAATTGGCGTCTGGCACATATTTAGCAGCGCCCAAAATGTCTGGCAACAAAAAATTTGAGTCTGGTGAACCTATTCGAAGTCAAAACAACGAAAATTGGACTGACTAAAATGCTTTCAAAATTTTGAAATCGCGCTGTACAAATTGGCTGCGCACTAATTAACGCAACCACTTCCAGCTGCCAGACGGCCCTTACCCTAACCGAGAGAGCACCAAGGACCACATACCAAAAAACCAGCCTGACTAAAATGCTTGTTTTGAAAACGTTGCTGGCTCCTATACTAAAATGTCATTTATTAAGTCTAGTGTTTGATTATGTAAATAACAAATGAAATTATGTCAAATTTTATACAAAAAAAATTAAAAATATTTAAAAAACATGCAATTTTCTAAATTTCAAATTATTAAAGTGAATTGATTATTTATTTGGAGCTATAGCGTCAATAACATTTGTTTTCACGTTATTCATTAAAAAATGGATGAAGTGTATCTGAACTAATCATTATAGTCGTTGATAGCAACTGCTGCACCAGATCCTGTCCAGTCTGCGTCATATCATCAGCCAGGCATGGTTTCTTTTCAATAATTAGAGAAATACTCCAGATGGATGTGTTTACAATACGTACATTCTTGTTGACTGTCAAATCTGAAGCAGACTTTTGGAGCAGGATCGTTATAAGCATTTGCCTATTTGCAGGTTGATTAAGTTGATTTTTTCTTATGATCAACCGATGTTTGGTGATATTTATCAAAGAAAGGTCCATTGCAACATTAAATGAGTTTGATAGAAAAACTTCAGTCTATGGTGAGTGTGCTGTAAAGAGAATTGGTGCAAGAAGTATTCAAGCCAACTTTCCTGGTAACACAGAAATAAAATATTTTATCGGAATTAGACTCACCGTTGAGTGAGGATTTTTCTACGTCGTTATTGGTACCAAAAAGTGTGTTTTGTGGTACTCGTGATGGAAAGGAGCTTTCTGTGCAAAGTGGAAAGTGCACATCACACTTTTTTTCGTTTGGTGAAAATCTGAATATCTAAAGGTTTTGCTGGTTTGTAGTTCTTCCACACAAGCATAGTTGTCATCTGGTTACATGTAAATCATCTAGGTTGAATTGATATTGGTAGTGGATGGAAAGTGTTTGCAACTTTACTTTAAAATAGCACAGTATATTCTACGAGTCCAATTGCTAAATTATAATAGTTCTGCGATGGGAACTTGGAAGAACAGTAGTTGCAGGACATTTCTGGGCAGTTTTTAATGATGATATTGTAACCTTCTATGTGTTGCTTTTTCTAAAATGTCAAGAGCCAAATGCCAAAAGATATTGTCAGACAAAAAAATGTAAAAAAATGCACTTAATAAAAAATAATTATCACGTCTTATATGTCATGTTAATAAAAATTAAAAAAATAATACCGTAAATTTATTACTTTTATATTATTTGTTTAATATATGTTTATATACTTACTATCACAAAATTTAGTTTTGAAAAAATTAAACATTTTTTAAGTAGTAGTTTTTTTTTGAATTATTTTTGGACAGCAATCAGAACCCAATAGTCCTATAAGCTGTTGTGCTGCTTTGACTTAATACTAGTCTGTTTGACAGATGGCAACCCAATCAGTTGTCACATCTCTATATGATATATTATTATTACAATTTCTGTAATAGGGCGAGTATTTTTAATTTTCACTTGGAAACATATTGCCATCCATATTTCCAAGTGAAAAACGTTGTCACTGCTGCCTGACAACAGGCTGCTCGAAGCGGATCTCGAACACGGGACCTCTGATTCAGGTTCCATCGCTCTGAACCGCTTACCTACGGGCGAGCCCAGCTAATAGTTGTGTGACATTTCTTGATAAATTTTGAAAGCAAGATTAAATCAAGTTGCATTCCAATATTTGTGGCTGGAATTAAATTATATATACATCTATGGAAATCTTGTATGACAGAGTACTTGTTGATAACTACTGTTAATAACTTTTCTAAATAATTTTTGTAATAAAATTGTCGACAAGTTCCTCTCCACTAATATCTAGATCTAATAAAATATTAATAATATTTAACACATACCTGTAAATGTCATCACTTATTCATACCATTCATTGCATGTAATTTAAATTTCATATATTTAGTTTTACAGCTTTATATATTTTTTACTGAAACCAAAAGAATTTATCTTCATAAAAACTTAAAATTTGTACTTTGGAATTACAAATATGATTATGAAAGTGTTTGTAACTGTTTATAATTAGAATAAAATATTAAAATTGATTAACGATTTGATGCATAAGTTAAAAAGAGGACTTAAATTTCATTATTTAATTTACACAAAAGAATTCTTGAATTTGCAAAAAAAAACATCAAATAGAATATAACACAAGAAATATTTATTTAAAATATGAACTTTCTTAGTAGACATACAAACTCGTTTGTTATAGTTGTGGTTATGAACAATTACAATGTCTGAAGATAACTATATAAAATTGCAATCCAAGTTAGAGATCAACATTAAAGCAAAATAATTTTAGTAACCCCTCTATTCCTTATGTCCTTAATCCGTTTCACATGGCGCAACATGGCCAAAAAAGTTTTAGTCTGCTTATCGAGAGGATTCGCACCAATATCATCGACTAATATAAATTTGGTGTCTTTTTCGCTATCTGCCTCCAACCTCTTGTATTCGCTGTAATCGTTTAGTTTGTACCTAGGTACTTTGTGCCTAGGAAGTTTCAAGAGCTTGTATTTGTAGTATGCAGCATCATTGATCAACTCAATAAAATCATTAATTGCTTCAACACGCAGTCTCCCTCGCAGATAATAAGGAATAGCTTCAAATTCCTCCAGCTCCATGAAGGAAACTTGAGGAACTCCATCGACGGCAATTCTTTTGGATTCTCGCCTAAGAACAGGATCAGGAAGGTTACTTTGCATCATGGGACTCTCTTCGGAATGCTGTATATTAGATCCTGAATCTGTAGATTTACTATTATCCTCACATGGTAAATTATTGGGAGGGGCAGCAGTAAGCGAATTCATCAGTCGATTAAGTCGTGCTCTACATCTTTCCAAAAGGTTTAACATTTTCTGTAATTGTCCCTGCAGGGTGAAGTTGTCATGTGATAATTCCTTAATCTCGTCTATATTAGCTGAAGAATCCATTACTCAAATTCACGTATAAGCAACAAGGCATTTTTATCGACAATTCAATAATTTGTACCTCTTTTGACGGTTATGGATTAGATTTACATACTCGGCATTTCGAAAAATAATTAAAGTAATTCTGAATCCAGATTTTTGATAATTTTTTTAAAATTTAATAATTTTAAATTTATAAGTTTAAATAGTCAAAAACTTTTGTTTTACAAACATTTTTATCCCACGCCACCTTGAAAATATTAGAAGTCGTACTTTTTTGTTTTTTTTTTTCAATATTATTATTGATTTTGTAGAAGTACATTAGCCATTTTCAATTATAATCATTATTCTCTACAATTATTATGCAATATTTATAATTTCATTTTACTAAATTTAATAATATTATCCAGGGCTCCATATGTTCTCATATGTGCCAACAATAGTGTGAAATTAGTTGGAAGATATATTTTCAATCTTATTATCTCCTTTCAAAATTCCAATTTATTTTTTTCCCATACGTTTTTAATATGAATTGTCAAAATATTCAATGAGAATTTGTAAATGTTTTTTATTAACATTACGGATGAAGCGATTTGAATAATTCAAAAAACGTTCGATTTGTATTCATAAGAAGACGTGCTGATTAGTTTTTGGCAAAGGCAGGTCTAGCCGTTCCGAAGATATGGGGCAAAAAGTGCCAAAAACGGTAACTCAGTTTTTAAGAGAACGGAGCGTCCGATTTGAATAATTTACTTGTAATAACAAGATGAAGAACTGATCAAATTTTCATAAAGGCAGGTCAAGCGGTTTCGGAGACCTAGTGAAAAAAGTAAAAAAAATGCCATCTGGCGGTCAAAAATGATCATTAGACATATGCACATCAAGTTATCAGATATTTTATAGACATTTTAACAATAAGTATAAATTTTGTTTACATTCCTATGGATTCTGTACCAGTGCTTAACCTTTAGACGGCAACGCGGCGCTCACGCGCTTTGATATTTTGTCTCTATGCAGTTAAAGCAGTACGATTGCTTTGAAAAAAAGTTCAGAATTTCCATAATATTTCAAAATTCACTTTTCTTCAAAAAGTCTTCTTTTCAAAATAAAGTCAAAAATTTAAAATTTCTCAAAAATCTAATTTTTCAGAGTATTTTTTTTCAAAAATGTTAATCTTTTATTGTTATTATGGTTTATGGCTTGTTATTATGGTGTCCGAAACGCGGATTTGAACTTGGTGTCGGGGGGACATAGATCTATCACGTTTTGCCCATATATCTATTTTGAAAAGCCACTTTTTTCTAAAATTTCAAAAATCTCAAAAATTTGATTGTTCAATGTTTACAAAGTCTTTTTGTAAATTTTAATTCCTAACTTCCCGTAGGGTAAGTTATAGTAATCGCAAAAAATCATAAATGTGAATTTTTATATATCTTCACGTTTCGAAGGTTTGCAAAAAAAATGAAAAAATCCAGTAAAATTTTCTCAAAAATTTCAAAGTTCTCAACATTTTTTTTTTTTTTGAAGCTTAAAAAAAAAATTAAAGTTTTTTTAAATTTTTTTATTTTTGGTACGGAAAGTTCCAGTAATTTGCCAAAGGGGCCCGATGCCAAGCACCACTAGTCAAAGTTGTTTCAATCAAAATTTTCATTACCATATTTCTATACTAAGGCAGACATAAACGCTAGAAACACTGGTAAGAGACATCCATGACGATATGCGATTGGAATTGAAATGATTTATTGTCATTTGTCGTATTTCTCGTGAGAATAAGACATTTTTATTGAGAAGTATAAGTTGGCTTTGCACGACAATTAATTCTATATTACAAATGTGAATTAAGTAGCTGATTGAATAACGGAATATTGTATTTATTCTTCAGAAAACCATTTGAAAGAAGTCGTGCACTGAGGTTCTATCTGAAACTAATAAACAAAATGTCCAGAAACCTTCAAAACGTCGAGAAATGCAAAAATTTTCAATTTTGATTTTCGGTGCATTACTATAACTACCCTACGGGAAGTTAATTAATATAATTCAAAAACAAGAGACCGTGTTATTTGGTCTCCTGATTCCCTCTAACTTCCCCTAATTGTAAACGTTTTTATGTTGTAAATATTATTTTTCGTAATTTTGTTAAACAATATCTATTTAATACATTATTGTATAGTTTTTTGTGTTTATTAATATCATCTCTTCTGTTTGTTTTGTCGTGCAATGTATTAAATATCTGTAATAATGTACAACTATGTCGTGCACTATATATTGCACAAATAGAACTCGTATGTTATATTGCTCATATAAACCTCAAGCTAGTTCAGTATGTACTTTTTTACTTACTTTCCTCATGTTTCAAAAGACAAATAGAAAATAAAGAATTGTAACTAAAACATTTTTAAGAAGTTGCTTGCTAAAAAAAATATTAATGTTAAATTATGCACATAAACAAATGGTGATCACATACTTCAGTTTTCAGTTTTGAATTTTTTTATTGCGTTATAATACAATATATATGATTATGTACATGTTTTTTTTACTCTAAGGGTATTTTACATTTTTAAATGTTTCTGATTTCAGTTAGAAACTAGTGGGGTGGGTGGCATCGTGCCTTAAGGCAAATTGCTGCAACTTGCCGTACCGTAACGAAATGTTCGAGGAATACAGAATGTTTTCAAATAGATTATTATTAATATTGTAACATTGTCTAATATTTATAAGAATTGTAAAGTTGAAATTATTTGTTTAAAGTATATTAGAACTTTAGTCAAAATTAAAATTAAAATCTGAATTATTTTCGATATACAAAAAATTAAAAAAAAAAAGTTGAATTTTTTTTTTCAAAATCAATTATTTTGTTAAGACAAAGCAAAAAGTTCTTTGAATCAATTAAATCGGACGCTTAGTTCTCTCAAAAACTGCCATTTTTTGTAAATTTAGCTCCGTATCTTCGAAATGGCTGGGCCTGCCTTTGCGAAAAACTAATAACCACTTTTCCCAATCATTACTAATTGAATGTTTTTTAGATCATTCAAATCGGATGCTCCGTTCTCTCAAAAACTCGATTTCTATTTTTTGCACTCTTTGCTCTTTATCTCCGTAACTGCTGCACCTGCCTTTGCCAAAAACTAATCGGCACATCTCCTTCCGTACGCCCGAAAACGTGGATGAAAAATTGTATCCATACATACATACACACACACACACATCCAATTTTTCTGAGGTATGCCAGAAATGTAAAAATTTTCAATTCCGATTTTCGGCCCATTACAATAACTTACCCTACGGGAAATTAATTAATAAGTCATTAAAAATAATAATATGTAACAAAAAAAAAAACTGTTAGCATATACTTCAAATTTACTTGATTTAGTATAATAGTATAGTTTCGGTATCATGAAACAAACACCTACTATAATTCTCGAATGGAAATGGATTCATTATTTTTAGCTAAAACAAGTACTCATTACAAATAAATGGCTTTTCTGATTGTCGGGTAAACCTGATAAATGCTTCTTATTTACAGTTACATCAAATTGCTCAAAATTAAAATTTATGAAATCGGTTCAGCCGCTTTTGAGAAAATTGCAACGGATGGTCAAATATTGACTCGCATACACACCCACATATTATTTCCCAATTGGATCACAAACCATTCAAAATGATTCGAAACGCCAAGAAAATATAAAATTAACAAGTCGGATTTTCTGACGAAAACATAAACTTCTCAGTTGTGGCGTTAAAAAGTTTTATATAAAAATTATGTTAATATTAAGTCAGCCATCGTTGTAAAAATATAAAATTACATTATTTTAATTTCGTTTATTATGTCAATAATTTCCCTTAGGGTTATAGTATTAACAAAAAAAATCGAAAATGAAAATTTTTATATTTTTTCCCGTTTCAAAGATTTCTGAACATTTTGGCATACTTTAGAAAAAATGGGTGTATGTGTGTGTGTGTGTTTGCATACAAATTTTCATCGATTTCGGGATCACGAATCAACCGATTTGGATAATTAAAAAAACATTCGATTCAATCAAATTTTGTTTACATTTCTATGGGTTTTGTACCAATATTGATCTGTTAAACTGCGACGCAGCGCTTACGCGCTTCGATACCTCGTTTAAACGCAGCTAAAGCAGCGCGAATACTTAACAAAAATTTAAAGTTCTCAAAGATCAAGTTCATTCAGTTTTCAAAAAAAATTCAAAATTATTTTAAAAAAAATATTTTTGGTACGGAGTGTTCCAGCATTTAGCCTTAAGGCACAATGCCATGTTCTACTACTTTCAATCTTGTTTTCTTCTAAATAATGTACTATTTCCAAGAAGTTCTTTTATTTCGATTCTATGTTTCGACTATGTTCCACCTATTTCTCGAAAAATACTGTTGATATTTCAGTTGCAAACCGCCCGTTGAGTTTTTAATAAAAAGCTTCAATTACCTCTCATAGAAAATCTTGTGAAAATCCGATTTTCCAACTGAACTTAGCCCGTGAACAAACACATACCCAACATATGCGTTTCAGGGAGAACCGAGAAGATGTTGCATGGCGAAGAAAATTAATTTTCCGGAAGAAAGAAAAAACCACAGCACATGTGCACGCGTGGTATATATATTTTATAAGACAAAGGAAAACAAGTTTCCCAGAATGCGGGGAAATTGGATCAAGGTGAAACTGAATGAAGTTTTGAAATACGCGATTTGTCATTTCTGACCTCTGAAAAAATAATGAGCAGAAATCAGCGGCGGTTGCTGGCCATCAAACTATTTCGCAACATATATAATATAATGCTAGATTATTTTTTCGCATTATCTATGTGGAAATGAGAAAAAAGTTACGGGCAAGCCAATCCGCCATTTATGGCCACTTGTATATATAGGTATATATATATAGGTATATATATATATATATATATATATATATATATATATATTAGTGGTTCTTAATATGGATGTTTACTTGCTCCCCGGGGCTCAAATGCTTCGAAATTGATAAAAACAATTCTCTGGAAGTTTTTCTT